CTCGAGGTGAGTAGCGGTCAGACTTGGTATGCAGGGCATATGTTAGAAGCTTGTGGTCGGTGATGAAAATAAAGTCTCCACCTTCTACTACGTGCCGTAAATGTCTGATGGCACAGTAAGCTGTTGGCGGTTCGCTACCAATAGCACTATATCTCGTCTCCGTTGGAGATGTGTTGCATAACGGCTCATATTGCAAAACCTGATGCATCAACCGCTATACTAATCATGGCTTCAGCTAAAGCTTATTTATCTCTAAAAAAGCAGTATGCATGGCTTCGTTCAACTCTAATTTACTTGGATTATTGCGAGGAAAGTCGCTTAATGGTCGTAACCGTCTTGATACGCGTGGAATGGAACGTTGGTAGAAGTTGACCAAACTGAGAAAGCCTTCAGTTCCTTGAGTGAGGACAGTTCAGTGCACTCCTTCATTGTACTTACTTTATTTTCGCAGGGTAGAATACCCTCATGCCTAATGTCTGACCGAAGAACCTTATTTCTACCTTGCCCAGTTCACACTTGTCTCAGTTAACCACTAATCCATTATCCGGAAGGCGTTGGAATAAAAGCGTAAGAATGTTGATAATGTTCATCTACATTTGATGATTCGATTAGCAGATCATCAAAACAGACGTGAACGAAATCGAAGTCTCATACTACGCTATCGATAAACCTTTGGAAAGTTTGAGCAGCATTCCGTAATCCAAATGGCAGTCGTAGGAACTCGAAAAGACCGAAAGGAGTCGTGACAGCAGTTTTCTCAATCTCTTCAAGAGCAGCTGGGATCTGATGATATGCACGTACCAGATCAATCTTAGAATAGATAGTCGTGCCCTTAAGAGATGTCGTGATGTCGTGTATGTGGGGGATGGGATAGCTATCGAAACGTGTTACTACATCTAATGCTCGGTAGTCGCCAACTTATCCCATCCTTTTTGCGAACCGTGTGGAGTGTGAGGCCCAAGGACTGTGAGAAGGACGAATAATACCTGTAGCTAGTAAATTGTCAAACTCACGCTTAGCGAAAGTTAATTTGTCCGGTGCCAGTCGACGAGGTCGTGCTGTGACTGGTGGTCCGCGGGTGACGATGTGGTGTACCACATGATGAGTCACCAATAGATTCTCCTCGAGGGGTTTAGTTAGCTGGGAAAATTCTTCGAGTAAAGCGTAGAAAATCTCAACACGCGAATGAAATACCCCTGTAATTCGGTACGCACCTGTTTAAGCTCGAAAGCCCATAAATTAGCTGTTCGACGAAGTACTGATTAGCTACAGCCTACATGAATCGACTAGCAATTCATAGTGCTGTAGGAGATCGATACCGAGTATGGCCGTGGGAACATCAGCAATTACGAACGTCCACAGATACTGTCATCGGTTGCTCAGGTTGACCGATAGCTGTCGTGTACCATGGGTAGGAATGAAAGAGCCCTTCGCAGCGTTAGTGCGGATACCGCGCACGTGCGGCAAGTACGACCACATTTAGTCGCCGGCTCGGGAGTTTTCCGCGTCGTATGAGCAGGGGGCTTGACAATGGCGGGCATCCGACCCGAAGGTACGATGGAACCAGCATAAACTGGTACTCTATCCCGAAGCCACCTTTTGGTGTGGCTTGGAAAATTTCCGATTGAAGCGAGTACTAGCCGCCTTTCATGATCGTGATCGGGCTTGGGAGACGTGGGGTTGTGAAATAAAAGAGCAGTCTCTAAACTTGAGATGTCTGTGAATGCAGCGACCCCAATATCCTTGAGCCTGGGAGCGACTAGCATGAAGGTCTACGTTTGTACGTGACACTGAGGCAACCATGTAGTTGCCGCACGCACTAATTCACGCTACAAATTAGTTTGCAATGAGGGAAACCTTAGTAAGTGGCGTGTCCTCCGTCAGAGCAGTGATCGTAGGCTGAATATGCGCTGGCAGGGATTTGAGTCACGGTTCTTTGACTATTTCGGATTCAGCTGTCGTAAGTTCTGCCAAAGAGTCCAGGCGCTTGAGTTGGTGGCTCGGCTTGGCATCACCCAGGGGGTGACGTGCTAATAAGGTCCTCAATCGTTCCTCCATCGATGGGAGGATGTCTGGGAATCACCTGCGTGAGGCGATCGTAGACGTCTGGTACTTAAGAATTGAAGACGGACTCACAGGCAGCAGTTGTATGGTCCCCAGTTAAGCATTCCAGAGCGTAGGCATACATCCGCCTCTGGTTCATGACATGGCGGATCTCGAACAGAGCCTCCAGTGACGCAAAACAAACTTCTGGGTGGTTGGGAATAAAAGCAACAGGTCGAAAATTGATAACCTGTAATTTGGTGTCCGTTATATTATGGTCATTTTTCAGTCCATCCATCATGGTAGAAAGTTGTTGCGGATACAGTACATATATTAAAAATATCGATTTAATCTTAGCAACAACTTTCAGGAATGGACTAACTGTGGATAGAAAATTAACAGGATCTCCGGAATTGACTTGGTTCTGGTAAATTTTGCGGTAGTTGACTCGTCGCTTATCAATGTAACGGATTGGAACTACTTATTGCAAGATAACCAAGTCACATCCCGTTACGGCCAAAAATCAAAAGACCAGCTGTGATTGGAGGTCGTACTATGTTTATTAATGGTCTTGTGATATCGAAAAAATATCGAGATCGCAATACAAACCGTAGGCGAGACAACCGAAGCAAACCGAGCAATGCCAGCGACACTGACGCGGGCAATTATGGTTTTTAGTACAGCTAAACAAAGGAGTACAATAAGACAATCACTGGTGCAATTGGTTACGATAATAAATGTTTCCATTTCACCAATCGTGTTATCTGCATAAAAGTATTCCACTACACCATGTTGCAAGTTATAACTGATATGATATTGATGTTACTTTTCCAAGTCAACCACGTCTACGATCAATGTTTGTAACCCTGAAATGGTTTCACTTCCTACCAGGAAATCGTATTGCAAGCAGATCTGGAAAATTATACTGAAGAGCTCACTCATGGCCTACTGAGCCACAGCGTTAAAAAGAAAGATGATCAGTAAAATATCAAAGAAGCATCAGATCACTGTGCTTCATTAATATATTCCGTGAATTAACATTATTACTAACAATTTGGTTCTTCTGAATTTCCTCTGTTCGTTTGATTAACAGCCCATTCGCGACTAGTGACTTGTCTTCATTAGGCTAAATATGTTCAGGCGTACAGTTAATGTTCTAACTTAGAAAAGTATCTTCTGAGTCGTTGTTCAGCTTTAAACAAGAATATTTCCTCTTCTGCTCCTCTCCCCTTTCTTTTTATGTCTATTTTTCAGCACCTTATTCCAATACTTAAATATTAGTCTGGATATTTGCTGAAGACTTGGTTACATCACCCGGGAGCTTGTAAATCTATTATCTGACAAACCTGGGTTTACCTTGCATCGTTTCGCGGCCATTAGCAGTTCGTCGTAACTCAACCGACGCAACCTGCGCCAATTATTCGCATTGCACATTGCAGTGTCTAAAACATTATCCATAGTTTTACGTGGAACATCAATCTCTCGTGGATTAAGTTATGTCCTCTTGGACCGCCACCATGACTACTGGTTTGACTTCACACTTCCTGGTTTTAAGCTTGGTTCAATTGAATTTAGCTGAACTGCATCTTTAAAGTTGGGGTTTAAGATTATAAAGTTTGCCAAACCTGGTTAATTTTCAATTTTTCGCATCTCAGAACATCGTTTGCGGAATTATTTGCGCCCAACGATCACCATACTTTGTGAGTGCCGTATTTTCTATCATCTGTTCACTACTTTCACATGCATTCGCTTGACTTGCTGTTAATTTGTAATCACTTTTCACTTCTCGCTGCAAGTCTTTTCAATTAACTGCACAGAACGTGAGGTTAAGAACCAATACCATCATTGTGGATTCCCACTCTAATTACTAGTGCTAGGTAGAAATCTTGGCCGGTTACTTCAAGACGGTTTTCATTAACTAGCCCGCTTTCGACAGAGAACTAACTACAGAAGTGACGTTGTAACCAAGTAGGCAAAACACAACATATTACTACAAAAACACTATTTATAAAGTATCCATTTACTTCCTTTTTTAGGTGCCACTTCATATCGTTTATTCTAAGAGAAAACTTGTCAAGGGAGAACATTTATTTAACTTAAAAAGAGGAGCGGTTCTCGTATTGAACTCTTTAGGACCACACTATGACCTTGTGTAACCTGCTGATCCAATATATATTAATCTCACCTTCTTCAGATCGGAGATAGTCGTCCGTCTATCGGACACTGCCAGCAGATTGAAGCGTAGCGGTGCTCCATCCTGAAACTGTAATGTTAGGTTGAAAATAGGTTTAAAGACTATAATTAGTTATGTAGGTCATTGTAAGCCAAGGATTCCATAACTTTCGAAATTATTGAAAGGACAGTCGAAAAGACCATTAATTTGACCCGCTCCAATATTTGAAGTGTTGTGTGTTCCAACTGTTTGAAGCAACTCCCTGGATTGGTGAACGTGAGGAAAGTGGACTAGGTGATGTAGGAGAGAGTGGACCGTATAGGAACTTTGCTATGTGTACTGGCATAGAAAATCGATGAACAGTCGGTATTCTTCACATCATGAACAGATAATAACTTTAGACATTATTACTACTACTACTATTCAAATGAGTTGGGCAATATCTTTACTACATCTGAGTAAATCGTGTGCGACGTAGAGTCGGACACATATGCTGAGGTTCGGACGACCATTGCACAGATTAAGATTTGTCTTGCAGTTCGTTGTAAAACAGGGTTTCCATACAATTCAAATGTACTATTAACCTGTAGTTACATGGATCGTTGCTTTGGTTTCCTCCAAAGACCCATGAAAGCTGTCAACCGTTTTTAATTAATATGAAACTTTTCTCACATTTCTGATATATTAGAGGACAAAGAGATAGATCATTTTCTGTTATAAGTTATAACGCATGAGAAATAGGTTAATCGTACAAACGGATTATTGGAACATTTTTCTATGATCCCGCGGGTGGTACGTTTTCCAAGATGGCTGGTGTAGGTCCTATTGTTAGGTGGAAAAAAGTTTCAGCGGCGACTGGAAATGTCCCTCGATCAAGACACGGACATAAAGCTGTTGCTATAAAGGACTTAATCGTAGTTTTTGGTGGTGGAAATGAAGGAATAGTGGATGAACTTCACGTGTTCAATACCAGTAAGTGGTTTTTTCCCGCCTATGTTTTAGCAACTTGCCAATGGTTTTTACCCGCTGTACACGGAGACATTCCACCAGGATGTGCAGCTTTCGGAATGCTGGCAGAAAACACTCGTGTGCTCATGTTTGGTGGCATGCTTGAATATGGAAAATATTCTGGCGACTTATACGAACTACAAGCTTCACGATGGGAGTGGAAGCGTCTGAAACCAAAACCTGCTAGAAATGGCCCCTGTCCATGCCCAAGGATAGGTATGACTTCTTTTACCTTGATTTTTTTGG